ATTGGTGGGGCTGAGGCTGGCACATCCAGCTGTTGTGGGCCAGGGGCAGGGTCCACTGGAGCATCTGGGATAGCAACCAGCAACAGGGCTATTAGGGCTGACCCTGAAGGAGGGTGGCTAATCAACACTTCTCAGACCTGGGACTCTGATGGCACCAATGGGGGTGCTTTGGGCAAGGCTCCCTGTGTCCACAGGGTCCAAAATTGCCACTGAGGTGACCATTGGTACAGAGGAGCGTCCTGCATGGGTTCAGACAACACAGGCGCTGATCTGTCTGAAGCACCAAAGGCCACATTCGAACACAGCCATGGTGATGCAGAGCAGGATGGCCACATTTGCAGGCAGTGTCAAATAGCCCCTGCCTGGAGAGCAGTGCCGAGGAGAGAGATACTGTGGTTGAGACCTACTTTTGGACCTTGAGTGGTGCTGGAACCTCAAGCTGTGCCTCAGGGAAGAACAGTACAATGGTAGAGCAGGTGCTGGGAGGACAAGCCGCTTCTCAATGGAACCAGTGCCTCGAGGGGTAGCGGTGTCACCCATGAGGTTGCAGCAGTTAGTCTGACTGGAGTCTTGAGTCCAAGCAGGGTCGCAAGGAGCAATGCCGAGTGGATGGCAACTGTGGGCTAGATCCAGAGTGGGACCAGGATCTGCTGCCCAAAGACACCCTCAAGCAGGAGCAGCTCTCTGGGGTGCCTGGGCTGCCACACCAAGTCTTTCTTACGTGCCACTGCTGGGACCACAGCCAACTGGGCAAGTAGCCATGCATGCGACGTGCGCACACTTAAGAGCAAGCACTCTAAGAAGAACAAGGCGTTTAGGGTATGAGTCTGCAGAATGCATGCAGATACACTGGATTTATCTTCAACTTGGGCTAAGCATGCATAATGAATGTAGTATTGGGTCCACAGAAGCAGGTCTCCTGAAAGTGTGAAATGACTTGTGATACCTAACCCACTGTGAGCCATTTATACTGTTTTTTATGAGAATGTTAGGGATGGGAAACTATCACCAAACATGGGGCCAGTGAACAATCTCTGGGGAAAACAGACCAAGCAGAACATCCCCATAGGTCAGCCTATGCTAAGAGACTAAGATCAGAAACTGCCAGAAATGTAAGAATTCTCTTACCACTTCATGTCCAACTGCAGTCTGAAAATCAGCTCTGAACAGGAGAGGCAAGGTGAGGGAGGGAATGTCTTTTATTGGACCACTGTCTGTTGGTGATTGACACAAGCTATTGAGCTCCACAGAGCTCTTCTTCATGTCTGAGAAAGGTACTCAAGAGTGTCACAAATTCAGGCCTGGCAGAAGCAGACACAGCTCCAAAGAAATCTATTGAGTTAAACACGAAGCTAAATTTGGCTCATACTGGTGATTTGTAATCAGAGATGGAAGTTAAAATAAGAGGCTTATAGCTGCCTTCAACTGCTCTTACTGATTTTCTTATATCCTTTTCAACCACAATGTTCTCAGGCTCCTTTGTAAAGGGAGCTTTATTAACTCACGTGGTTGCTGATGCTGCATCACTCAGGGTACGTCTAGACTACATGCCTCTGTTGCCAGAGGCATGTAGATTAGGCTACCCGGCATAGGAAAATGAAGCGGCGATTTAAATAATCGCCGCTTCAATTAAATTTACATGGCTGCCGCGCTGAGCCGATCAGCTGTTTGTCGGCTCAGCGCGGTAGTCTGGACGCGCGGGGGT